CTTTGCTCCCCCCCCACGGCTGTTGTGTCCTCTGCGTGTCACGGAGCGGGGAACACGGCTGCCTACCAAAACCCGCTGTACGCCATCGCTTACTTTCCGTTGTTTAAACGTCGAGGAGGGGGGTCGAGTTTTAGAGGAATAACGCGATCGCTAGAAAGCCATAAAAGCTATTCTTGCGCTACTCATCTTCCACCTCCGGTTTGTCTTTTCGAGAACAGTTCACGAGGTGCTAGCCTGATGGCACGGCGTTCAGTGAAATAATTTGTGGATAAATAAAACTTCAAAATGTTGCCGTTAGTGTAAAATGCAGCAGTTCTGCTAGAAAAAGATGAAGTCTCAATATAACAACTGCTTGTGTTGGAAATTACAGCAATATAAACAAGCTACTGGAATAGTGGAATCGTCCTCTGGGAGCAGCATAGTAAATTTTTTCGTCAGGTTGATAACTCCTGCCCCTTCCTGAGTCATCTCTCTGACCTTTTTGTATGGTGCGCTAATACATGTAGTGAATTGCTTTCCGGCTGGATCACTCTTATCTTTTTAAAATTGTTAATTAAAAGAGTTTATTTTTTCCACCCACTTTTAGATATAATGAAATGAAGTCCATATTTTGCCTGGGTAGTCGAAACCACCAGGCTTGTTTTTGTAGTAACATCGGTGACGTGCGTTCGGAAGGCAGAACTAACTGTCTTAAACCTTTAAGTGTTTCTGAATCCTGCGCAAGAATTCCCTCCAGTGCGGAAGGAGCTTCCCTTTTACAATTTCATGACATGCTGTTTCCTTCTTCGCCAGTGCCTCAGACACTCCTGCGATGCCCTCGTTAGTCTTGAGAAACATGTAACTGCTGGGTTTACCATGCCGACCGGCAAATTACGCCGCTTCGTTTTGTCACGCCCTCTGTTTCTGCTCTGTCTGTACAGCGCCTGGCACAGCATGGATATGCTTCATATCTAGGGCCAGGTTCTGCTGTAATGCAAGTAATCGGAATTAAACTCTCGGTGGAGAAAAGCATGGTACCGTAGAAAAGGTACGGCTATCCGTTTTTTCTCTCTGCTTTTCTGTCATAGGCTACTTCTGAATGTGTACTGCACCTTCCAGATTGTATCGTTAGTAGCTCTCACTGAGATACCAAAATAGAGGAAGCGTATGTTCAATACCCAGACGTGTTAACTACCAATTGTGGAGAATGAAAAATAAAGCATTGTCACTACCTAACTGTGTCGTATTTTTCATTACGTATGGTGTCCCAGGTATTTGC